TCCTACCTGCCCCTCCTGCTGGAGCCCAAAAGGCGCCGCAGAAAGCCGCCGGAGGCAGGAATTGACAAACTCTGAATGCAATTCAGTTAAAAGGACTTCAGTCTAGCAAGTGGGACCTCGCTACTTCCAGGGGGTCAGAAACTGTTTGTTGTAACGTAGTTTTGTTTTCCCCGTGTGGATACTGCAAAACTTAGAAGGATAATTGGGGGGAAATGCTGTTTGTAGCTGGTTCCTCCTGAAACGTAAGGCGGTGTTTCCACTTCTGTTGATAGCTTCTGGAAGCCTCTCGTATAAAAAGGGATATAATACCAAAATGCTGCGAGAATGCTTTTAAAATAATCTTTAGCTGCATTCCCAGGTTTTTTTTCTTTCTCTTCTTTTTTTTTTTTTTTTTCCAGATGATGATCATCCTTCCATTTTTGGCAGCGCAATCTGTTTCTATAGCAACAGGGACAGAGGCAACAGTCAGATCACAGGAGTAATGCTTGTGGATTTGTGTGGTTAAACCTGTGGGCTCCACATGATGTTTTCCAACAGCCCCAGCCAAAAAAGTCCCAGTTGCCAAAAAGCTCCTAAAAACTCATCCTGATCCACTTTGCGTAGATGATACAGCCCAAGAAGCCTACAGCAAAAATAAACTTTTTTTAAAGCATCAATGAATTACTTAACAGGCAGAGTGAAGAAGAGTCTGTGAAAGCAAGGATACCCTTCAGCAAAGGCAATTAATGCTGAGCTGCGCTGCTGCATTTAGTGCTGAAGGGTGTGAGATTCAACAGCACGCCTTGGTTTATCCGGTTGCTTACACACATCTATTAGAACAGGTTTTTCCAATTTAATTTTCTTGATACCTATGCAAGATGAGTGGACTGAGATACAAAAGCGCAGAGGAATTTTTAGCGAGTTACGTTCCAGAACAGCTGCAGCCAGGAAGCCTTGTCCTTAAGTGGCACTTGGGTCATACAAAATAGATCAAAATTGTTGGATCTGAGCTTATAAGCGAGACAAGTGTCAGTTATTCAGAGGCAGAAGAGTTTTGCAGGCGCTAATGAGGTGAGCAAAATGTGATGCAAAGCTCAAGAACTAATTAATAGCAAGGATGTGAAGCGAGTTGCAGCTGGTGGGGCGTAAGAGTTTGTGTAGGTGGTTAGGCTGGGAAGATGGGATTCCTCGGGTGCAGCTTGAAACCTGTGAATTACTGGGGTAATGTAGGGGAGGGAAGGTCTTCAAAAAAAAAAACCAAAAACCCCTTGGGTGATTCGAGACTATTTAGTCTTTAGCTACTTCTGGATATGTCTGTTTTCAGAATAGTCTTTATAGCTGCATAAACAACCACACTGGATTTCTGGCATCTGTGCAGAGGTATTTCATCCCTAACAAAGCATAGGTAGAAGTGTAGGGATTTTATTTGTTTATTAACTAATTTGCTTGGCTAGCTGTTCAGGAAAAACAAAACATTCGGCAATAACACGGGTGTATTTCATTCCGTATGAAAGGAGAGGTGAAAACTGTCACCTACTGAAATAAGTCTGCTGAATTGATAGACTGTCTATTTACCTGGATTTCTGCACTGTTAAAAATGATACTGTATATGTTCATATTCTGCCACTTAAATAATTTATATTTGCTTTCCCAAAGGAGAAGCAGGAGGTAATTGCCATAATGTTTGCGTGTTTATTTCAGAACTATATATACCCTAAAGGAACACCCTTTGGCTTCTTTTCCCTTAACACTCTTTGTCAAAGCCATGCAATTTTAAACATGTGACTTTTGATTTCCCTTTTTTTTTTTTTTTAAATGATGGTAGTGATTATGAGTAACTACCATGACAAACACGTAGGCATCTGACACAGAAGGAAATACTGCAGCGGTGAGGAAACAGAATTGTGTACCTTGGATGCTGGGTTAGGATATTCTTTGCTTCTCTTCAGGCTTTTAGCTGTGAGGCGTGACTAGTGGTGATTGAATCCTCCGTCAAATTGGATTTCATAGCATGGAAAGGGCAGGCAGTTGCTTTCAAAGATAATCTGAGCAAAGACAGCGTCCGTGCAAACCAGAGTTACACAGTTGTTTCTGAAGACTCAAGGCGGTCAGTGCTGGGGACTCTGGTTTCTCTGTGCGTGGGCGTTCGCCTCTTCCCCCTCTGCCTTCCCCAGCAGGGGCAGACACCGAGTGCTAAAGCTCTGCCGGGTGGAAAGCAGGTTTCGCCATGCAATGTCACCGTGTTCAAAATAGATTTCAAGCAATTCTTTTAGATGGTAATTGCCTTTGAGTGTGGCTGTGGCTGGTTCTGGTTTCCAGCACAGAGCTGCCTCTGGGTGCGAATGTTGGCTGTGACCTTGGCCCATATGGTACGTCTGACCCTCTCGGGGATACTCGGTGCTCAAGGAAGTGAAAAATGGCAATCCAGTTTTTTGCAAACGTGTTTGGAACAGGGATGTACCAGGTGGCTGTCCTGATCTCCACGATCACCGCCGCCTCCGGCCCCGCTCGGACCGGCGACGACCCTGCCGTAAGGCATGCCCTGGGCGGGAGCCGCGGGTTTCGCGGGTGGCCTGGTCGGCTCCTTCAACCTAGTGGCAGAGCTCCAGCGGGAAGATAGTTCTTCGTGCTGGCTTAAGCTTTTTTTTTGGGAAAAATTCTAAAAGTTAATCCTCTTTCCTGTTTTTTTCTCTCCTAGATCCGAAGTCAGCCTCGTCGCAGTCTTCCCACACCAGCGTTAGGGCGCATTAGAGCCACGCTGGAAGCTGCGCTCGGCGGCAGCAAGCCGAGCAAAC